TTTCCCCGAGTTCCTTAGCTTCCATGACTTTCTCCACAATAAGTACTGATACAAAATATTCATTTAGGATCTCACCCGTCTCCTGTGGTTCCACACGTGGATGGCCTTGTTGTTCTTTAAGAGGTCCTATTCTCTCCCTACTTACTGTTTTTCCCTTAATATGCTTGTGGAATCTCTTTGGATTCTTCTTTACCTTATCTGCCAAAACTATCTCATATCTGCTTTTTGCCCTCCTGATTTCCCTCTTAAGCGTACTCCTACAACTCCTATCCTCCTCAAGGGCTTTACTTGTTCCCAGCTGTCTATAATCGAACACACACCTCCTTCCTTTTCCTGACCAGAGCCTCAATATCTCTAGTCATCCAGTGTTCCCTACTCCCTCCAGCCCTTCACACTGACAAGAACATGCTGAATTCTCATTATCTCACTTTGGCAAGTGGGAGGCTTTCAAAACATCCCTTTGCCTGCGAACAGCCTCCCTCAATCACCTTCTGAAAGTTCCCATCTCATACCATCAAAATTGTCCTTGCCCCAATTTAGAAATTTAACTTGTGGATCAGACCTATCCTTTTCCATAACTATTTAAAAACTAATAGAATTATGGCCACTATTCCTAAAGTTCTCCCCCACTAACACCTCAGTCACTTGCCCTGCCTTATTTCCCAAGAGGAGGTTGGGTTTTGCCCCTTCTCTAGTAGGGCTATCTACTTATTGATTCAGAAAGTTTTCTTGAATACACTTAAATTCCTCCCCATCCAACACTACAGCAGTCCCAGTCTATGTTTGGGAAGTTAAAATCCCCTACAATTACAACCCTATTATTCTTACAGCTATCTGCAATCACCCCTGCATTTTTGTCCTCAATTTCCTGCTGACCACCAGAGAGGGGGTGGTGCCTGTAGTACCATCCCATCAAAGTGATCACTCCCTTATTTCTCACTTCCACATATATAGCTTCATAGAATATTCCTGTGGGATTGTCCAAGGTACTGCTGTGATGTTTTCCCTATTCAAAAACAATACTCCCTCCCCTTCCATCCTTCCTATAGCATCTGTATCCTTGAAACATTGAGATGCCATGCCTGTCACTCCCTCAGCCATGCTTCTGTAATAGCTATGATATCCAGTCCCTTGTTCCCATCCATGCCCTGACTTCATCTGCCTTACCTGTCAGGCCTCTTGCACTGAAATAAATGCAGTTTCATTCAGTCTTCCCTCATTCCCTGCTGTGCTTTTGCCTGCCTTATCTACTCAACTTGCTTTCTTTAACTTCTGCACCAGCCTCAACCTTCTCTCTTGTCTCACTACTGCTTTATTAATAACACAGTAGTTTCAGCAGAGTAAAGTTAAACAAGATAATCTAATGAATGTCTATGATTTAATCTCAATCATTTTTGATTCTAGCCCCACTCACAAAAACACACAGACAAGCAGATACAGTTAAGGGGTAAATCAAAAGACAAAATCAATGAGATGCAGCTGATGAGTTCACTTAAGCTGTTCTACAATTTATAATCTCATAGGCACACAGGATTGTATCTTCCTTGGCTTCTGAAGACACCAATGCATGCAGTTGTTTTCCAATAGGCTCTAAGGAATATTCACTTAATGCTTATAACTGAGATTCTATTCTCCAAACTTTCAATAAGTTGATAATGAGAGGTTAACCAGGGAGCAATAAAACCTCTGTTTTGTAGCTTTCACACCCACAATCCTTCTAATTTAAACACAGTTCACAAAAAGTTCAAGTTTTGGTATCTTTGTTAGACTGGTTGTCTCCCTACGAGGTCCCAGTTATTAGCCATTTGTTTGACTATAAAGTGTCTAGAATGTTCTTTGAACAAAAATCAGCCAGCAATTATCTTTCAGGTTTGGCCTCATAAGCAAATATCAATTTGGCTGTTTTCTCTTTTTTTTGAAAAAGACAAGTTGCTGCTTAAAGTCCAAAGGTCAACTTCAGCTCTCAGCTCAGTGTTCTCAGCTCCAAATTAAAAAAAACAGCAGGAATTCTGACATGTAGCATAAAGAACAATTTTCCTACGAGAATAGTAGTTAGTCAATAGTGCTTTTAGTTTTAAAAGTCTTAAAATATGATGTCTTCTTGTTATATCCTTTCAGCTGTCAATTGGTAGTTGGAATTCTTTTTTGAAAAAAGTTAATGTTCATGGGTATTGTGGTATCAAGTAAATACTAATTGTGTATATTTTAAATGATTAAAATGTTTTCATTTATTAAGGTTATTTAATTATTATAAAGGGTAATGTTAATGGCCTGTAGACTTGCACCATAGACAGGAATAAAATGGTCATTTTCCTCCTGCACAGAATGGTTTGAGGTAAATGGATTACATTTAGCAAAAGAAACAGTTGTAAACATAAAGATTTGTTTTTTTTTAAGCAAGCATTGTTGAAATAAAGGGTCAACAGTCTTTCAGATAGAGCAGCAGCCAATGTCACAAACAAAACCATGAATCATAAACCTGTTACAAAACAAACTCAACTCCAATCACATTGCAATGTTACAAGATGAGTAACTGCAGCCCTGTAAAAATCTTACATTTTCCTTCAGAATTTCACCCAGAACAACAGCAGATTTTTTTCCTCTATGACTTTGCTTAAGGCATTAAGTGTGGAGATACAGTCTAACTCAATAAAAATTATTTGCACAGAAAATTGTGTCACATTAAAGATCGTTACAAAAGTAGTGTGAGAATACAAGTTAGACACTGAACACTTCCTCAAAACTAGGAAATAATAACTCTTAAAGGAGTGTAACATGAGCTATGGTGAGAGTTGTGGCAGAATCAGACAAGTCCGCCAAGGTCACTTTTGATGTTACCAGCATCTTGCTGCATCTTTTTTAAGTTTTTCGCAAGCAGCGTCCGAGTTCCTTGCTAGGCAGTGACGAACGGACAATTGTTAAATGACTTGTTGACAACTCAACTTAACTCACCTTATTAATATTCAGCTTCCTATCTTATCAACTCACCAAACAAGCTAAACATCAGAGAAAAACTCGGCTGAAACCAGACAGGTATCTAGCCAAGAGATAGTAAGAACTGCCGATGCTGGAACGTCAACTTCCCTGCTCCTCTGGTGCTGCCTGGCCTGCTGTGTTCCTTCAGCTCCACACTGTTATCGGTATCTAGGAAATTTGTCTCACCGCTTGCTCCGGTCAATCTCCACGTTGGACACTGGGCACCAATATCTCAGGCACACTCCATGAGCACAGGCGACATTCACCCATTTCCATGGATATTGGTATCCAATATGTGCCAGCCTCAAAGCACATGTCCAATCCAGTTACAGCATGCCTACGCACTTCAATGCTGCACCTTGGACTGAACTGGCAACTATCATTGTAATGTTGCAGCAAGAAACTTTGCATTCAAGGATATGCACCCAACTCAACGATCAGGCTGCATCTCCAGGTTTTTCAGTCCCGGTCAGAGGGTATACTCCCTTTGACACGACCTCGTTACTCACAGCATCCCTCGCTTGCATTACCTTGCCTTTTTGAGCTTTACTCGCTCAGCCAGAGATACCAGGCTCATATTGTTACGGACTTGCCTTGCTGTTTAGCGCAGACAAAAGAAATAGACTGTCATGGTTTTCAGCAGGCTTCAGTCAAGGATAGCCTTCCTTCTAGGGGCCCCATCCCATTAGGTCAAAGGCAGACTCTGATATCAACTCAAGGTAGTTAGAGTCAGGGTGATGAGTTGAAGGTTGGATAGCCCACCACCCATCTTGAGTCTTTCTGGCCTCTGGGGCTTTCATTCCGGGAGGAAAGCAGAGAGAGTCAGGTATTGAGAGGTGACAGGCAAATAAACTACAGGCGCTGGAATCCAAAGTAGACAAACAGTAGGCTGTAAGAACACAGCAAGCCAGGCAGCATCTGGAGGAAAGGAGAAGTCAATGTAACTGGGTGACACAATATTTACTTTTGGTGGCAGTGGAGAGGTGTCTGAGGGCATGCACAATTAGTGCTGAAAGGGTTGTGGTGAGTGAGAGAGTGTAAGGGACGGTGTTGCAGGCAATAGTAATTCATAGAGCATGAGCCTTGGTGAAGGATGAGTACAGGGGCAATTGCAAGTTATTGGAAAGGAGATGGTAGAACGTAAAACAAGGTCATTGCTTTCTTCCTACATTGCTGTACTTTCCTCCATACGGCACAGCCTGCTTTGTCCTGGCTGGCATGTCTAGTAACCCCCACTTCAGATGGTCAAACCTCATAAGTGAAATATTTATAATCCTGTTATATTTTTCAATACAGTACCTGTTATGGTCATGTCCACTGGAACCATCTGAAAAGACTTGGGGAGATTCACTGCTTGGTATCAGTCCAATTATTGATACCAGATGGGGAAGGATACTGAAGTGAAGCTCGATCTTGATAAACAATACAGTTTTACTACATAGTATTTAACAACTTGTTACATCTGAGTTACACTACAGTTCTTTGTATGACCTCAGATGAGACCTAAGAGTAAGTACACATTATTGTCAATTAGTTTTCGGTCATATGTAGACTTAGCACAAAACTGAAGTACTGCTTTAGCTCCCACCACATGGCCTTAAGAACGAAGCTTATCTCCTGATCTCAGTAACCCTTTCAGGTACTGTTTTATGTAAGCTTGGTGTTAAAAGTAATCTGTTGATCCACCACATTCTCAATCAGTCAGCTAATTTTTTTCACATCATGCACCTACCTCGTTCTTGCTACTGAAATAGCGTTCTTAATATCTCATTTGCGCTATAAAATATGAGACCAGATATATGCAAAGAAATGTTAATTTAGTTCTTGGGAAGTCGGGATATGAAGAGAAAACCAAACACATACCCAACTTGACTGATCCCACCAACAACTCTCCACACACTCCCACATCCGGGGGCAGCTGACTGACAGCAGAAGCTTGCGCTCCGCCTACCTGCCACGTGATCCACCGCCAAGCTCGTCCATTCTGGGCTCGCAGGGGTGAACTTGTCATTTGTACCATTGTGTTTCAGATTTCCTCAAATATGGAGATACTACGCTGTCTGATTAGCATTGTTCCTAGTGATTTTCTGTATAACAAGATGGCAGCAGCCTGATTTTGCTGTGTTTATTTTAAACGGAACAGTGTGGATCCAGACTGTCCAACCCCTCGCCTTGCTCCCACGGTGGTGTAGTTGCAGCGAGAGGTTCGCCAAGGCCCGTCAGTGACAATGGCGGAGAGCAGCGGCCCAGACAGGGACAGGGGCGGATCCTGCTCCTTTACCAACAACCCGGCTGGGAAAAGCCAGGTAGCCCCCGGGACTCCGGTCGGCGCTGGGGAATATTGCAGGAAAGTGCAGGAGTGGCTGTGGCAGTATTACAGCTACGTGCAATGGCAGAGCTGGGTAATGTTGATGGCCCCGCTCCCTCCTTATTACCCGTTCCCCAGCGGCGGGGCCAGGCAGAGCGAGGGGGAGGCGGCCGCTGCTCCCGCTCCCGGAGCTAACAACCTCTACAATCTCTTCCCCTTTTACCCGCCCTACCTCGGCGTTCCCACAGTGCCGCAAACCCCGGGTGAACAGCCTCAGCAGCGGGAGGTGGCAACTGGTTCGGCGAGCGGCGTCAGGCTGCCAGCCGCTAATGCGCAGCAACAGGCAGCAACTGTGCACCCGAGAGGTAAGGCACCACAAAAGATGTGTCAGCCGTTATGTGGGAGATTTGCGGTAGAAGAGGAACTAAATCTAATTGCAAACATCTTGCCTCCGCATTACCTACCGGGAGGAGCTTCGGGAACAGCCCCTAAACAAGATGAGAGCGACTGAAAACTAACACGAAGTCAGCTGTTAGAAAAGTGACACGCAGTGCTATTTGCACGCAGTTGTTTTCCCATGAAAACATTTGGCTGTTGCGCTTATCGGTAGACTGCAAAAGTTTATCTGATCGTAGCTCTGAACTGTACTTGATGTTGTAAAATGATTAATGGGTTCCAGGCATTGCAACCCTAAGCTATCCGCGAAGACTCATTTTAATTTGAATCTCACTCACAGAAACAACCTCAATATATATGGTTATCGGTACTTGTTTGCACTATAGGGGAAATAAGTTATTCCTAGTAATTCAGATTCAAACGAATCAAGCAAACTATTGTAGCATTGATGACAGCGAAATCTTAAGTGCCACTAGTTGTCAGTGAATAAGGACATGAAAACAGGAGTAGGCCGTCCAGCCTGTTGCACCACTCCATAAAACCAGCTGATCCGACCGTGCCCTCAACTGGACACGCTTGCCTACACATTACTCTGGGCTTCCTTAAAAATGTGTCTAATTCAGCCATGAATCTGTTCCTATATATGTTACTTCAATGCCACTTCCCCCACTTTCTTCCTATTCCTGATGTTATTGTTTTCTAGAAATGTCAGTCTCAGTCTTGAACCTGCTCTATGGCAGAGATTCCACAGACTTCTGGGGTAGAGAATTCCAAGGATTCACCACTTTGAGTGAATAAATGTATCTTCATCTCAGTCTTAAATGGCCTACACCTTATCTTGAGATTGGGTTCCTGGTTTTAGATTCACCAGCCAGATGAAATGTCTACATCTACATTGTTGATCCCTATAAGAATATTTAGGTTTCAATGAGATCATCTCCTGTTCTTCAAAACTTTAGGGAATATAGACCCAGTCTGCCCAGACTTCCCCTCATAAAACAATCTTGCCACACTGGATTCACTTCACTGTCACTCTCACTCCCTCACAGTTGTTCTCATTCCCACAATCTGGTGAAAGTTTTTGCATTCCTTGGGCAAATATATCCTTCATTAGATTAATGGAATCAAAGTTATACATAGTACTCCGGGTGAGGTATCACCAAATCTCTGTACAACTGTAGCAAGACATAATCTTGTACTTAAATTTTGTGAAGACCAACGTACAATATGTCCTTCTAGATTGCTTACTGCACCTGCATGCTAACTTTGTGACTCATGATCAAGGGCACCCACATCCCTTTGGATGCTTCAACTTCCTAAATGCTTGTTATTTAAGAAATAGTCAATTTCTGTTTTGTCTAATGAAGTGAATACTCTCATGCTTATTCACATTGTATTTCAAGTGCATGATCTAGCCCACGAATTTACCCTATCCAAGTTTTCTTCCTTGCATCTTTTCAAATTACCTTATGATGATCTTTGTGATACTCTACAACCTACAAGTCTGAGAATGATCAGTTATTTCTTACTCTCTGCTTTTTGTCTAAGTCTGTCAAACATGAGTTCTCTTTTATTGATTCCTGCTGACTCTGCCCAATTTTGCCGTTCTTTTCTAAGTATTCACTTATCACATCCTTTATAATGTGATTTTCCAGTGAGCAGAAACCTTTCCAGAATCTATTGAATTTTGAAAGGTAACCACAAATGCATTTACTTTCTTTTTAATCGCCACCTTCAGCATTCTTAGATGAAGCTCATCTGGTCACGTGTATTAATCAAACTTCAATTCAGTTAACATTTCGAGTGCCATCTCTTTACTATTCATTTCTTTTAGTTCCTAGTTTCATAAGCCCCTTCGTCCCCTGTATTTCCAGGAGATGTTTTGGATCTTCTTTGAAGACCAGTGCAAGGTAACCGTTCAGTTTCTCTGCCGTTCTCCTGTTCTCCACAATAAATACAAGGTTGAATCAAAACAAGTTAAAACCAGGCACCTTAGTGAATATAGAATAAAGCCACTCAAATGCAGTAAAACTAATATAGACTACTTGAGCTATGTTCTTAGAATATATGGTGATTCCCTCAACTCCCTGATTAGTTTTTCACTTGCATTTTACTGACCACAGCCCAAAATCGAGTACAAAAATCTCTCCTATCAAAACCACACACCACCCTGACTTGGAAACATATCATTCTTCCTTCTCTGTTTGTGGGCCAAAATCCTGGACTTCACTTCCTACATTACTGTGTGTGCAGCTATGCCACATGGACTGCAATGATTCAAGATGGCAGTTCATCGCTACTTTCTCAAAGGCAATAATGCTGACCTAGCAAACATGTTCCACATCTTAACAAATAACACTTGAACAACTGGACTAAAGTAGCTATGTATCAGGCACTGAATTTGGCAGTTTAAGACCGAGATATGGGAGCAGAATTAGGTCATTCGATCCATTGAGTCTCCTCTGCCATTTGATCATAGCTGATATGTTTTTCAACCTGGTTCCTCTGCCATCTCCCCTTACCAATCAAGAGCCTAACTACCTCTATCATAAATACGCTCACTGATTTGGTTTCCATAGTCCTCTTTGGCAGTGAGTTCCACAGAATAGCCACCACCTGGCTGAAGAAATTCCTTCTCATCTTCGTTCTAAAGAGTCATCCTTTCACACTCAGGTTGTGCACTTGGGTCCTGGTCTCTCCTGCTGGTGGAAAAGTCTTTTCCACGTCCACTTCATTCAGGCCTCGGTATTCTTAAGTTTCAATCAGATCCCCCTCATCATTCTAAACTTCGAGTACAAACTCGTAGTTCTCAACTGCTCCTCATATGATAAGCCCTTCATCCCTGGGATCATTTTTGTAAACTTCCTTTGTACGCCCTCCAATTCCAGCACATCCATTCCTTAGATATGGTGCCCAAAATTGCTCTCAGTATTCCACATGCAATCTGACCAGAGCCTTGTATGGCTTCAGTTCATTTCTGGTATTCTTGCCCTCTTGAAATGAATGCTAACATTGCGCTTGCCTTCTTAATTGCCAACTAAACCTGCATTTTAACCTTAGGGACTTTGGAGTCTTAGTTCAGGATTCCCTTTCTTGCTTTAGATTTCCAAAGCCTTTCTCTGTTCATAAAATTTTCTACGCCTCTATTCTTCCTACCATCATGTGTAACCTCTCACTTTCCCACATCATATTTCATCCACCTCTTTGCCGCTTCCTAGGCGGTCCAAATCCTTCTGCAGTCTCACCGCTTCTCCAGCACTGCCTGCCCTCTGCCTATCTTTGTGTTATCTGCAAACTTACATTTGATTTAATCACTGGAAAATGGTTTTATTGCTAAATGCTGGGACATTTTGAAGTTATTAACATATTTTATTAGCACTATGTGGGCATCTGATGATACCTGTACAGTGTATCTTTGCTGCTAAATTTGAGAACAGTAAAGGCAATGGATGTAGGTAGGGATTGCAGAAGGAAATGGCTTATCTATTTGGTCGGACTGATGAATGAAAGATGTAACATTGGTAGAAAAAAATATGACTCGTATTTCAATTAGCTCGTAAATAGATGTGGTCACTTTAGAAGTCTGGACAGTGTGTTGACTGCCTCAGATATAACACATCTATGTGAGAAAAAGACAATTGAAAAATAGCAACTTGTGTAGTGCATTTAAGAGGTTAGGTTCCTTCTTAACATCTGTTTTTGCTGATATTTCTGGTTCATGAGATTTATGCAATTTTTCTCCAACTAAAAGTGCATCTTCCTTGTTTTTGTGATCTCCTGTCTCCTAATAAGCTGAGGATCCCTTATGCTTAATTAACTCTCCACCCATCTTTAAAGATTTGTATATGCCACAATTCTTTCTGTTACTGCACTCCCTTTAAAATTGGATTATTTAGTTTGATACCTCTCCTCATTCTCCCAGTCAAAATACATTTGTATGACTCCAGACTACTGCAAAACCTAAAAAGTGACTTAGTATGGAGTTCTGAGTCTCCTGCATAGTTGTGAGCAGTACTGAATTTTGTTAGAGCTGCCATTTTTATTTTTCAAATATAGCTGGAGAGTTCAGGTTGTTTGTGCTGCACTCCATCTGGCACATCTGTCCATTTGAAAGTGTCATGTAAACAAAGCATATGATGCAATTGTAGTTGTAGAAAAGTAACAAATCTTAGTCTAAAAGGGCAGAAAACTTACCAGGGAAAGACCATCTATTTGAAACATAATTGATTAAAGTAATTGAAAGAACCATATCCTGTCCTAATTCTGACATTGATCACCTGAACTTCATAGCTGGGAATTAATACTTATTGATAGAATAGCAACTAGGCTGTAACTTCCTATTTACTGCAATGAAATTTTGCAGCCTTCAAGGACTGGTTGACTTAAACACTGCTCCACCTTACCACAGATGACTTTCCCTGGCCTTCGTGGAGCTTTAAAGTAAGGGCAAGGTAAGGGGTTTGAGTATAGGGAGAGTTTAAAAACTCAAATCACAAAAATTGAGACAATAGAACAATGTGTAATAATGTGGATATAGGCAGATGAAATGGGAGACAAAGGGACAGTAACAGTGCCTTGGTGAGTCATACCTTGCAGCCCAACTCGTTCATGCTGACCAGGTTTCCTAAACTGAACTAGTCTATTTGCCTGCATTTGCCCCATATCCCTCTAAACCTTTCCTATCCATGTATATGTCTTTTAAATGATGTAATTGTACCTGCACCTACCACTTCCTCTAGCAGCTTGTTCCATATACTCACCACCCTGTGTAGAAAATGTTGCCCCTCAGGTTCCTTTTAAATCTTTCCCTTCTCACCGTAAACATATGTCCCCTAGTTTAGGTCGTCCCTACCTTTGGGAAAAGACCATGACTATTCACCTTACCTATGCCCCTCAAGATTTTATAAACCTCCATAAGGTCACCCCTCAGCCTCTTATGTTCCAAGGAAAAAAAGCCTCAATCTATCCA